CGGAGCCGGGGACGCCACTCCGCACGCCCACGCGCGCCTTCTTCCTTCTGTGGCCGGTAGGGGGCGGCCCTGCGACCTGCGGGAAGGCCGCCCTGGTGCAGCCGCCAGGCTACAGTCCCAGCAGCTTCTCAGCTCTGTAGGGTGCCTGGGATGCATGGGAAGGCGCTTAGGGTGAGCAGATTCGGGGTAGAAATTGGAACTCACCTCGTACCACTTCGGGCGCCCTGGGACCAGCCAGGTGGATTGAGTGCGGGATTGTGGGATCACGCTGTTCAGCATGAAAGGATTTTGGTTATTGTAAGCAGTTTGTTTTCAAATCGAAATAAAGAGGTCTCGGTGCTGAAACTCGGCTTTTGGAGTTCTAACCTCAATCTTCCTTGAGCCACCTGCCAGTGCTGCTCTGCACGGCGGACTCTGGCTTCCGCATCACGGTCACTCCTAGAGGTGACCTTACTTTGAATTAGAGGAGATTTGGGGACAGGAGCTCTGGGGACACGACCTTTGGGAACCGCTGGTCAGTGTGTATCAGCTGACCGAGATGCTGGAGAGCTTTGTGAACCTGTGATACAGGTGTTTTCAATATAGCCTACAGGCCTAGCGGGTAGGGGAAGACGAAGGGCGAGGGTTTGGGCTAAGAGGTGGATAACGGGTACAAGGAAAGGAGAGTTTGACAAGGAACAGCAGGTTCGGAGTATACTCAAAGTGGAGTTACGGCCAGCCGTGCAGGCATGCAGCTGCGATCAGCTGTAATCAGGCTCCTTCTCAGGAGGCTGGGTCAGGAGAACCGCAACTTGGATGTCAGCCTGGGACCGTGTCAAATGGGGGCGAGGAGAGACTGATAGTGTAGCTCAGTGGTACAGCATCCTGGGCTTGCATGCTTGCGGGATCAGGGATCAGCGGGGTGGAATGGGAAACGGAGCTAAGACAAAACTCTGAACTGAAGGACCGGACAGGGCAGTGAGGAGGTGCTAATTCTGCCCAGGGACCATGCCCCTCCTTGAGCGTTGTCTCCTCCTAGTAGAAGTAGAAGTGCTCAGTACTGACAGATTCCCTTTTCTGTACCGAATACTTCTTACCAAGGACTCAGACTGAGTGTCCCTCTCTTAGGAGCTGGTCCCTAAGCAGTAAGTGCTGAGGGAGATGAAATCAGAAGGATGTCGTGTACTCTGCTAAATGTATTGATTTTCTCGAAGGTATTGTATAGGTTTCCTGCAGCCAGAGGCAAGGCTTCTCAAAGCATACCTAAAGCTTTTCTAGCCTGACCTTTTGTTTTCTGTATCTGTATGTGCTGACTTAGGAAGAGATTAACGGAATATTAAGTTTAAAAAATGAAAGAAAGTAAAACGGAACAAAGCAATGGCAGACACAAGGTGATCTCGCCCCTGGGAGAACAAGTTTCTTTCTTTACAGCTAAGGTGACAACTGGAAAGAAAAATACTGTTCAGCTCTATGGAGTGGGATGGAGAGTGAACTTACATTTTATTTTGCTCATCTCTACCCTGTACTCACTTCAAGTATCCTTTAAAAATAAATGTAGTGTGCTGGGGTTACAGCTCAGGGACAGGGGGCTCGTTTAACATGTGGAGGGCACTTTGCCAATCTCTGTGAACAAAACAAGGCCTATAATTTGTACCGTCTTCTCATTAGTTCAGAAGGGGTTGTGCTCCAGGCAGGCCTGGTCTAAGCCATTCTCCAAAGCACGGAAGGGTGTGAGGACTCTGCAGTCACCAGGAACTTCCCTGGAGCAGAGGGTCACGGGCAGTGAGCCATGCCAGATAATGTGTGATAGGGAGGGTACAGCGAACTTCAGAGACTTCCAGCCTCGGACATTTTATCTCTAAGACATTTTGAAGTCAGCCTGTAAGTGAGGAAGAATGGATCCTGAAAACTTGGGGTGGGGGCAGATAAAAGTCTTGTGCATTTGTTCCCTTAGTCATCTTTCTATACTTTTCTTGTTAGCAAACAAGGATTCTTCTCATACTGCCTTGGAACACTAAACCTTTAGATGAAAGCACAGTCAGATGGCTGGGCGTGTAAGCAATGTGTGAGAATTTTCTTTCCCACAGGACAGCCTTGTGCCAACAAAGTGCACATTTCTATGGGAAATTCTACCTTTGAATGTCCACCATGAAATGTTACAGAACACTATCTAGTAAGCAGCTGCACTGCTGCTATGAAGGCCATCTATCCACAACAGTTGCAAACTCTTAACAACAGGATACATGCTGAGAAATGTCATTAGAAGACTTATTAGCTGTGTGAACATTGTAAAGTGTATTTACAAAAACTAAGATGGCTACAATGTCACTAGGGGTATCAGTCCATCTTCTGTTTTAATAACACAATTCTGCAGAGTAAGTTATAAAGAGAAGAAGTTTATTTTGGCTCACAGTCCTGGAGATTCAAGGTCTAGAAGCCACGCCAAGAAGATTCTTGCTCACATATCCTGAGGCAGTATATAACATCACACGGTGAAAGACAAAGGTACACACTGGTGTGTCTTTGTTGTTGAGTGATACCTGGCTGTATGTTTAACTTTACTGATTTTGTTCTTATCTTTGCAACTGCAATTATTCTGTTTTGACCTTACTTTGCAATTTCCCCCCTCATTAATTTGTATTCTTCTTTATGAAAGGTACCTTATGAAAGTGTAGCCATGCAATATGCTGTATTGTGAAATACTTCACGTTGCATACCTTAAAGGTTCATATTGTTGTAGCATAAATCAGGCTTTTGGTTCTTTTTAAAAGTGAATTTGTTTCATTTATGTATATACCATTATTTTTTTGTTTAAGCATTTATATTTTGAAGGCTATTTGGGCTGTTCCTACCTCTGGGTTATTGTTGATAATGCTGTTATGAACATTGGTGCATACTTGAACAAGTTTTGATGTGTTTTCTTTTCACTATTATTATACTCAAAATATTGTATAATCTCTATTGTGATTTCTACTTTAGCTCACTAGTTGGTTAGAATTATATTGTTTAGCATTTACACATTGGTGGATTTTCTGTTTATCTTTCTAATACTTATTCATGGTTTACTTCTCAATCGGAGGACATACTGAGAAGATTCAATCTTCTGTGAAGTGCTAAGAGTTGCTTCATATTAATGTATGTTCTATTTTTTGTAAGTATTCCATGCTTACTTGACTGTATCCTGCCATTTTTAGATGCAGCATTTTGTATGTGTCAATTATGTCAACTGTGGTACTTTGTTTAAATGCCTGCTTGTTCTGTTAACTTTAAAACTGATTAAGGTATTTTATGATTTGGATTTATATATTTTTATTTTTACTTGTCAATTTTATTTTATAAATATGGATGACATGGATATGTACATTTAGAATTGTCACATCTTTCTATGGGACTAAGCCTTTTTATTATAAAATATGCTGGTTATTCACTAGTAACCTCCTTGAGTCTTTATTAACTATTAGTAAAACCACACTAACTCCACTTTTTTCATGAATGTATATTTCTTGTTTTCTTTCAATTTTTCTCTACTTTATTCCAAGTGTGTCTCCTGTACTCATAGTTTTTAGTTTTTTTTTTTTTCTTTAAAGTGGGCTGATTAGCTTAGTTCCTTAATTTGATTATTTGGTCCATTTTTATTCGATATGTTATGCTTTGTTCTGCTCACTTGTTGGTATCTTTTCCCAATTACTGATTTGTTTTAGAGCAAACATAACTTCATTGGTTCCCTTCATTAGTTTATCAATTAAACATTTAGTTATTATTCCAATAATTAACCTAAGGATTTCACTTACTTCCTTATAGATTCTACTTTAAAACACTACTGAATAATGCAAGGAATTCGTAACACTTTAATGACTGTTAAACTCTTCCTGATTTTATGCTAGTATTATAGCATATCATTCCCAAATATATGTTAAAATCTATCTTTCATTTTATTATCTTACACAATAAGCATTATTTTCTGTATTCCCATATATTTACCCATTCTGAAGTTTATTTCTGCATTGTTGTGATTTCTTCTAGAATAATTTTCCCTTCATGTGAAGAGCTTCTGTTTATTGTTTTTTTTATGAAGTTTTACTGACATTAAATTCTCAGTTTCGGTTTATCCAAGAACATAGTTACTCTTCCTTTGTTTTAATGTATATATATTCATTGTGTATAAAATTCTGATGTGGCAATAACTTCAGCATAAAGATGATTTTCCATTGTTTTTCAGTCTGTCACCTTTGAAAAATCAGATGTTGGTCTTATAATTGCCTTTGAAGGCAGACTTGCCCACGACTATCTTATGTAACTCTTGTTATTCTCTCTTGTACCTACCGCAAGCAGGCTTTTTTGTTCATTTCACTGACAGATCTTGTCAAGGTCACTTTCTTAGACCATTTTTTGTTTCTATAATGAATACCACACAGTAGGTTAATTTACAAAGGACAGACGCTTATTTCGCTCACAGTTCTAGAAACTGGAAAGACCAGAGTTGAGGGGCTGTTTCTGGTGAGGGCCTCTGAGGATAAGAACTCTGCAGAGTCCTGAGGCAGTGTGGGGTATTACATGACAAAAACAGAGCTAGTGTGCCTGCTCAAGTCTCTCTTCCTTGCCTTACAAAGCGCTAATTGCACCATGAGGGCTCCATCATGACCCATCTAATCTTAAATGACTCTTAAAGGCTTTTCCTCCAGATATCACCAAATATGATTCTAAGGATTAAACTTACAATACAAGAAATTTGGGGACACATTCAAACCAAAGCAATCGCCAATATCTTCCATGTGCCTAAATATATAGGTTAATTTTCTGACTTTATTTAAATTGGCTTCTCAACAACACTCATTATATTTGAGTCCCTCATGCTTCCTTGAAACACCCTACTTTGACATTGGGAGTTCTATATTATCTTGATTTTTAATTTCCCTTTCAGGCTGTTCATTCTCAGTGTGCTTTGTTGGTTTTTCTTCACATCCCAGACCTGTAGATTATTAAATGCCCAAGGCTTAAAATTTTTTTGTCCCTCCACTTTACTATACTTGCTCTCTTGGTTGTCTCATCCATTTCATATTTAAATAAAATCTACAGCAGAATACACAAATGATATCTGGCTTATGATGCTTTCCATTGCAAATTTTAACTTCATGATGGTATAAAATCAATGCACATTCAGCAGGAACTAGTCTTGAGTTTTAAATTTTGATCATTTTTCTGGGTTAGTGATGTGACTTACAGTAGTCTTGTGGTGCTGGACAGTAGCAAGCTGCAGCTCCAATTGGCCATATGGTCCTGTGAGTAAATAACTGATATTCTGGTGTACTGTGTAGTTGGCAGTTTTTGGATACAAGTAAATTACATGAGAGACCCAACACTTTATTAGAAATAGGTTGTGTGTTAGGTAATTTTGCCCCACTGTAGGTTAATTCTTAGAAAGTTTAAGGTAGGCTAAGCTTTGATGTTTGGGAGGTTAAGTGCATTAAATAGGCTTTTGAGCTAGGATATCTTCAATTTACAACAGGTCTGTCAGGATTTAATCCCATTTTAAGTCTAAACACATCTGAATATGCTCATGATTTCCAAATTTATACACACTGTCTGTATTTACTCTCCTATAACAACTGCGAATGTCTAGTTAATGAACATGTCCCCTTAGCCATCTAAGAGGCATCTTGGACATGACATGTTTCAGCATTCTCCCAAACTTGTACTCATAGTCTTCCTAACTTCAGTAATGTGAACACAGTTTCCAGGTGATAATCCAAAAGCCTTCATTATTCTTCATGTGATTACACTCCATGTCAAACGTCATGATCCCAGATCTCAAAATTTACCTAAAATCCTGATTTCCCACCAACCTAACCACCATCACTTAATCTGAAATATTGTTTCCTGTCAAATTCTATTACTCTATCTTCAAAGTTTTGGTGGCTTGTTTCAGATTACTGACCACTTCCTACACTGTCAAAAATGGGCTTAATCTCTCCGCTCCCATTACTTCCCTAACCTCATCTTGTATTATTCCCCATGCTGATGGGATCACATGTCCCCCTGGCCTCTTTGCTGTTCCTTGAGCATTCGACTAGTGATCCTGCTTTGGGCATGTTTGTCTGGTCTTCAGTCTAGAATTCTTTTGCTCTGTATATTTAGATAGTGTCTTTTCTTATCTCTGAGTCTTTGTTTGCCTTGGCAATCTAGCCTTCCCTGACTGCACTAGCTACAGTTGCACTATACTTTGCTCTGTTTCTTCAGAGCATGTGTTGCTAACTGACGTTACATTATGTTATTTATTTCTTTATGATCTATCTCCTTAACTAGAATCTGCATTAAAATTTTGTCTTTTTTAGTCCAATGCTAAGATCATTTTACAAAAAATGTACCTAATAAATATTAGAAAAATTATAAAGCTGCTGTGTTTATCATTGTAAAAATCATCTGAAATAAACACTACATTGGAATATATATATTTTGAACTCTTTGGGAAAGATGTGCTAAGCAATTAGAAATGAATGAATGAGTGCCTGTGCATTAGAAACTGTAAAACAGAAAGATAACTGCATAAATTATATACAAATTGAAAATGTAAAGATGCTTTTACAGATGTGAAGAATTTTTGAAAATGTTCAACACTTTCATATTTTATTAAAAATAAAAAGAATGTTGAACAATGATCTGAAGACATAAGAAAACACTGACAGTAAAAAATTTAACCAAATGATTTATGATACTATAAAAGTGTCTCTCAATTGGTACAGAACTCCATTGTAGTTCAGAATAATATTAAACTGGATATTTCTTTTTACATTTTTTACAAAATCCAGCCAGCAGTTTTTCTATATTTTATATTTTCCTAGATGATTTTTAAATTCTTTCATTTCTTCTTTGGTTTGGGACAAATTAATAAATATTTTAATTAATGCAGTCACTAACCTGAATTCAAAAATTGGTAACAGAAATTATAAAATTGGCTTTTTAAATTTCTTAACACAAATTCTGATATGGCTCATTTATCAAAACAGATTATTATGAGCACACAGCCCTAATTTTTATATTATTAGTTTTTAAAAAACACTATCCTTGATAAAAAAAACTTTATTTAGTAACCTTTAAATGTCATATAACATATAAATAAAAAATTTAACCCAGGTGAAAAAAAAGTAAATGCTATGAGAAGGTCACTTCTGGAATCAGTAGGAGAGCCAGGTTCTTATAAAATCTCTAATAGTACCTTTCCAATCAAATTGTTTGGAAGATAAAATTCAAGATCTTTGCACCTGCTTCTATTTTACATTTTGTGTAAATGCTATGAGAAGGTCACTTCTGGAATCAGTAGGAGAGCCAGGTTCTTATAAAATCTCTAGTACCTTTCCAATCAAATTGTTTGGAAGATAAAATTCAAGATCTTTGTACCTGCTTCTATTTTACATTTTGTGTGTGTGTGTGTCATTATATAAATAATAAGTTCTCAACTGCAAACCTCTGAAGCCAAATGAAGTAAAGCACTCATTGGATAGACTTCACTGATCTGGACAGACTCACTCAGTCCTGTTCACCTAGGCTGCCTATCAGCCATCTCTCATTTGGGCTGAATGGGGAAACTTTCCTGGAAGCTGTACAGAGTATCCCGAGTTGCTCAGAAAGAGCAGGGCAGACAGCTCTATGAAGGGCCACGATTGACCTGAGAGCAACTAACCATGGACCCAATGAACAGATTCTTCAGGCCACTCACCTGTCTAGGAATGCCTCATATTGGAAAACTGCTCTATCAAGATCAGTATTTTCTCTTAAAAGCTTCCATAGCTAATGTTGAGGAGTAATTTAAAAAATTCCCCAAGTGCTTTGATCTATTTGGTGTGGGTGACTAAGCTCTGGACATATTTATTCCCTAGAGTTAAGGAGTTTTGGCCATTCAAATGGAGGTCTGAGTGTTTCCACTCCCAAACAGGTTCCATGGCTATGGAAATTGGAGTGGAGAAGGTAAAGTGTCCAGTGGAGGCAAATTACGTGTTCATTTTTTTATCACTATGATGAAAGGCAATGCTAATTGTAGTCTCAGCACATTTTCCCATTTCCAGAGATCTATAAATAGGAAACAAACCCCTCTCATTAAAGCCAGAAATAGGTTGGAAAATAACTCATTATATATCTATCTTATATATGTGCGTATATAAAGTTTTGATTTGGATTAATGAAAATTAGATCAACAAAGTATAGATATCGGATGGAGAAGAAATTATACTGATTTGAGATGTGAGAATATCAAAATGAATCTAAAGACTTGTATCAGTATAAAAGGAGAGTTTTGTCCAATTCACACTTCTGTTTTACACCATCCACTCCATTTTCTGTGTAAAGTCAGACAGGGCAGCCTTCTCTGAAGAAGTACAGCCAGGAAAGACACTGAAAGGAGCTGCTGCTTTAAAGAAAAAAAAGATTAAGGTGTCTCTTTGCAGACTGCAATGACAAGGAACACAGTGATGTTGTAAAGCTTTCCATCCAGATGGACATTTCCACTGAAATAATAAAGATTAAACCATATGCAATAGATTTTTAATGATATTTATGTTCAACTTTAAAAATCAATAAATGTGGGTGTACACATACCAACTCCCCACAAGGAAGGTAATCATTATGTAATGAAAACATGTACTAAAAAAATTTAAATCTGAAAAAAATTAATACATGTGAAGTATTTTTAAGTGGACAGCTGGATTTGAAAATGAAAACTGGTAAAACAGAATTGGCTTAAGGGAACTAGCCACTGACATTTCTTAAAGTGGTTCATAACTAAAACACTTTTTAACAAACACCTAAGAAAGTCAGCACAATGACTAAGCAACCAGATTCTTTGTCAGATATATAGACTGTGTCAAATATGACTTTAGCCTTTTACAAAGAAAAACGTGATGTCTTTGCTTAGGGTTTTGATGGAATTATTAAGAGAATTAAATAAAAAATATGGTAAAGCACAAACTTACAAAATGGTGTATTCCTAGATAATATACTCATATGTTAGTGTATGAGTACATGAACACACTAGTTGTGTGTATGATTGATCAAGTGATGAAATTTAAACACATATTATTATCTCCTCAGTAAAGCCTGAAAATCCTCAAGAATGCTTTCAGTAAAGATTAGGGAGTTTGACCTTTATTCTCTGTGCAAGGCAAAGTGTTCAAAATTAAGTAACTTGTTTGCATTTCTCTTGGGGAGTCTAACATCTCAGACTATCTGACAAACAGTATAATACTTGTTCTTCAACTTTTCAAGTGGTAAGTGATATGCTGAGGTTTAGAATATTCCAGTAAGTCCACAGCTCTGGGGAAGAAATATCAAGATGCCACTTGAAACCTCTTTCTTGAAGTCAAAGTCGTTCTCTGAAAAGATTTAGGGGTATACTGTGAACCTGAAATCAAGAAAGTAATTCTCATTAAAATGTTAAAAAATTAACCTCTCAAGAGGTTTTTTTAAAACTACATTCCATGTAGAAGATACTCTTTGAACAGAATAAAATATTTTATTTTAACGTCAGTTTTACACAAACCACAAAATAGTCATACACAAAGACAGCCATTTGAAGTCCTAAGAAAAAGGAAAGCGTTCTCCTTAATCAAGCATAAGCACCAGTATTGTGCTCTCCCCAGCTAGGACCCCAGAACTGAGGCCCTAAAGCCCAAGAAGTTCAGTAGGACGCTTGGGCAGCTACCTATTTTATAGGAGCAGCCATGCCAACTGACCTCAGAGATCTTACCCACTACCAGAGAATACCCCTACCCCGGGATCTTCATTATTTTTCTTTCCAACACAGAACAAATGAGAAGCTGATATGTTTATAGCTCCCTGTGCTTCCTGATCTGGAAACAAAGTTAACAAGGAGGCCATGTGCCTGCATATAGAAAAAATAAAACTCAACACCCATACAGGAATGTGTCTTTTGTGTACTCTAAGTCACTTTACATGTGAGCAAAGGCCTCTGACTATCAGTGATAATAGCTATCTCAAAGTTATTGATAAGAGAATAAGCTGATTCAGTATTTGGTGAAAGATCTTAGGGGTACAGGTTTCTCTTTCATGTCAACTGTCCTACGCTCAAAAAATCCCATTAGACATCTTCACCTGGCATGGAGCAGCCAGCATCTCTAAAGCTGACTCCAAAATCCCTCTGGTTCCCTCTTTAAACACCACCAGCCCTGGCCGTCCACAGCATCTCAGTGGTCTGTTTTCACTCCCTCTTACTCCCATTCCCTCCAGGAAGCCTCTCTGCTCCCTTTAGTAATGGAAGATTGAGGCTGGTGGTTTCCTTAGATCACCGCTCTCTCAGTCCTCTCCATCATCCTCACAGCACCGAGGGCTCTGGATGGAGTTCTGATGTCAGGCACAGCCCACAGATGCTGGCTGTGTCCTCCCGCATGGTCAAAATAGGCCTATCCAGGTAGGGAAGCTTCAGTTTCATTTTCTAGAACTCAAAGTATTACAGATACATCATTATCTTGATAGGTGGGGAAGTCTCACCTGTCAAAACACTCTGACCGGTCCACGTGTGGTGGGCGAATTCCATCGGTGACAACGAACCTTTTCTAGGTGTATCCGACTGATAGGAGGAAAATAAAATGACGGGTGAGGTTTATTTTCTCAAAAATTTTTTTTTAAAAATCGATGTTAGTGTTAACAGAAAACCTACCCGGAAGGTGTGAGTTGTGTTGGGCCTTGAAAGCTGCTCCAGGACAAAGGTTCTTTCTCGAAGAGGTGATTGCTCTATGCAATCAGGCACAGCGCTTAACACACGGCTCTGTGGGTGCCTTCCTTTGCACTACATGAAGGACAATAGGTCCTTGTTTAGAGTAAGTGCATTCCTCAGGAAGACAAAGGAAAACCTACAGATGCTTCAATCGTTGGCTCATTTACACATTGACTCATTTATTTGGTAATTTTATTTCGATATTGCTAAGAATAGTGCATGAAGTAGTTATGAGTTACTTATATTAGAGTGAAGCATCCAGGGGAAGCTGGCAAGACACACTTCCAGAAGCACTGTCCCCAGATGTGCAGTGACAGCGGTACTGAACCGAGCGTGGGTGAAAAAGTCACTGCCTCTACACTGCGGCAAACACGCCAAAGGTCCGTTGTAAAAATGACGAGGATAATAATTTACTCAGCTATTAGTTTATGCTTGGCATTACTTAAAATCGATGCCCGCGTCTTTCTAATCCTTAGAATGACTCCTTGAGATAAGAAGTATTATCACCCTTTTACAGATGAGAAAACTAAGGCTCAGGGAAATTAAACTACAGTTTGCACGGCAGGATCCAAACACAAGCCAGACTTCCTCTGACCCAAACTGACCTACACTCTCTTGCCATCACTACATCATCTTGACTATCAGACATTTCCTTCATACCTGGATTTTCTGATTCAGTTCAAGCCCCATTTTTATTTTACAAAATGGTGAATGAATCCTCTCACTGCCCTGTAAAGTCTCATAAATCATTTACTTCCTGGAAACAGATTATGAAGACAGAATACAACAGATCAGATCATTGCCTATCTTACTAACTTCTCTGGGAAGTACCAAGATTTTTTTTGCCTTCCAACAGATTATTTAAATGGTTGACTTAAAACGACATCTGACTTACGGATATAGAGCGGGATCCAGATAGTGCTGTGTTCTGCTCCCCATTGTCGGAACCAATTGGGGGCAACCTGCTCCAGGAAGTTTGAATTGGAGAGGAAGACATGTGGTCCACACCAGTTTGCCTGTAAATACAACTAAATGCAACTGAACACCCAACTGAGAGAGACAGGACCCTACCACGAAGCTCTCGATCTGAGCTACTGATCACAATCTGCCCTCCAAAATCAATGCTCAAGAACAAGCTTCATTTCAGGACAACAGATGTGAGGCTACAGGGAAACATATTGCTTCCTATACTGTCAGTGGGACTGTAAAGTGGCATGACTATTCTAGGAAGCACTTTGACAAAGTATTTCAAGACCCTTAAAAATATTCATAACCTTGACCCAATAGTTTTCCTCCTAGGACTGTACCCCTAGAAAACAAGTTAAACACACCCTTATTAAAATTGATATAAGATGATATTCACTGTGTGTTATCAGAATGAAAATACAGAAAAAATTAAAACTTACACTAATAAATGCATACTTAATAAATTATAGATTCATATGATTGTTTTGCGCTCGTAAAATCATGCTTTGGAAAATGTTTGACAACATGGAAAATATGAAGGACATAATGTTAAGTGAAAAAGTGTTACATTACATAACAGTTAATGCTAATGTCAGGAAAAAGACAAGAGAAAGCGAAGAAAAAATATAACCCTAGGCAAAACTGATAGGAAATTTATCAACAGCTATCATTGCCATGTTTATATGTGATGAGCACACAGTGATCTTTGATTTCTGTTCATAGTTTTGATATTATCATCTTCAGCAGTGAACTTTTGGTACTTAGATAACTAAGGAAAATGTTATTTGGTAAAAATGACGAGAACAGAGGGTGTGGCTCAGGGGCAGAGAGCTTGCCTAGCAAAAGGCAGATCTTGGGTTTGATCCCTAGCACAGCAAAAAAGAAAAACAAAAAGGAGGGAAAGAAAAAGGGTAAAGGGAAAGAGAAGGGAAAAGAAAAGAGGAAAGAGAAGAAAAGAGAAGGGAAAAGGAAGGAAAAAATAAAATAATAGTGGAAGACAGTATAAACAAAATCATGGAAGTAAGAGGCCACAAAACTGTTGTGTCTTTGGCTCAGAAGGAAGTAAGGCTGCCCAGGATCAGGGGAGGGGGTACCCTGGATGCAGATCCAAGGAGGGTAAAATATCCCTGAAAGGGGGTGAGAAATTTAACTCAAGTATAATATATTAAAATTCCATGGGTGGGGAATAATTAGGGAAAATATAATCCACAGGGCACCCCTAGCATGGCAATAACAACAAAAAAAGTTGAAAAACACTGGACTACAGAGAGAGAGACCAAAGCATAAAGGGGATGTACAATAGGAAGGGTAAAAATTGATGTCAATAGAAAACAGCAGTGGTTTTTGATAAAAGTCATTAGGCCCACGTATTCTGGGAGAAAAATACAGAGCTGTTCATACACTGCAGACGTGGGCATGGAGTAAAGAGAGGGTGGGAGGTAGCTATAAACAGAGAAGGAAGAGATAGGCTAAAAGAATGAACAGAGACAATGCAAGTACAACTGGAGACGTCAGTCTCAACTTGTGAAAGAAACAATGGCCTATCAAACAGCTATGGCCAGGCGTGGTGGTCCATGCCTGTAATCCCAGCACTCCAGAGGCTGAGGCAGGAGGATCGCTGTGAGTTCAAGACCAGCCTGAGTTACATAGTGAATTCCAGGTCAGTCTCAACTACATAACGAGACCCTGTCTCAAAATAAAATAAAATAAAATAGCTCTGAATGCATCACGAGAAAGTCCAGTTACTGAGCAATTAATTGTTGGAAGGTATTCATCCCTCCAAATTTTGGGAGGACCCTAGTCCTACACCTTAATACCTCCCTCCCTTAGAGTAGGCAGCCTAAGGCAAATGGTAGAAGACTGAACTCCAAAGCCAGAGAGTACCACTGTGAGTGTCCCACCCCTGCCTTCCTGAGCTATAATCTTTAACATATTATTCAAATTCTTCCAACCTGTTTTCTCATTTTAGATTTGGAATAAGTGAAGACCAACTAGAGAGACTTGGGATGGGAAATAAACAAGATACTAAGTGTAACCCATTTACTTGGTGCTAGCAACAATGAAGTCAATGAACACTAGCCATTAGTATTAATGAAGTATTGTACGATACTGAAAAAGGCAGCTGGAAAGCTCCTTTGGAATTCTGATAAAGGAAGAGACAAATAAGTTTCTAATTAGGGAACGATTTTGATGTTAATTCGTAAGGTCAAAATCTTTTCTGAAATTGTTACACAGGGTGAAACTGTTACTTAAAGATAAATAAAAGCAATATATTAGGTGTATAACCCTATTATTATTATTATTATTATTATTATTATTATTATTATTAGCAGTAGTACTATTCTTTTGAGTCAGGGTCTTGCCATCTTGCCCAGGCTGGTCTCTTAACTGCTTAGCTCAAGAGATACACCTGCCTCTGCCTACCAAATAGCTGTGAATATAAGTATGAAATACACCCAGCATTATATCATTTTTATTTTCTGAAGTAATCATAAGGATACTTTCCAAGAAATTTGTACTGAGGCAAGTTTCATCCGGGTGCAAATATACAATATGTCTACATGAACAGCTATGACGTTACGAGGCAACATAATCTAAGGGCCACCATTACGCATTTAGTCTGTATTGGACCTAAACATCATTATGCATACTATTCAAACCTTCTCATTAAAAGTCTTAACTATGTAATTTTAAAACATTGATTATTAGTTTTAAAGAAGAGTCCACTGACATCCATCCAAGAGCACCCTACCACCACAGCTGCATTTTACGTATGAGCTGCTATTTATTTATGTCTGACTTTTCATTCTAGTATACAGATGCTTATATTACTGGAATGAAATTAGTGTTAAACCCTAAAATAAATTTATTAGGAAAAAGTCTACATAATATCTGACAGGGATCCTTTGTCCAGAATAATCCACCAACCCTAACTGATAAGTGACTCTGTCCTATGGGGATGTTAGTTTATCATGACAGAAACAAGACTTACAGTTTTGTTCCCCTAAGAACTTCATCACTGTACACATTGGGGGTTTTTATTCTCTGTGAATCGGAAGTGAGAGAAGGCAGCCTCCTATGCACCACCGTTTTCTTGGCAGAAGTCTGTAATCCTCTCACATCTGAGGCCCGCCCCATTCGGTGGCGAGCAGAGGAAAGGGCACAGACTCCTCCTCCAGCAGATGTTTTGTCCTCCTGTTCACTCCTGCGGGAGAGCAATCCGGCTGTAAGTGCTTGAGAACACAGAACACATCTACAGGAGTGCCTGGCACACACAGCACACACACAGACAGACTATCATTTCCAATTCTATGCGAAAGAAGAATCACTCAGGAAGAAAGATCTACACTTCTCACATGCAACAGTAATTATCTTGCAGTTCACATTACACGATCTGCTTTTATTCTTCCACGCTGGCTGTACCCTTTCTGGAATGTGCTCACACACCTCTGGAGCATGAGATTAAATGGGCTCTTTCTTGTCACATGTCCCTGCAGAACTCAGATGCTCAGTGTGTTACCAACATAGGGATGTGGTTGAGTGACATTTTCTTATACGTACTGTGTTCTATCTGTAAAGTAGGTAGGTCTCTGCTGAAGAGGTTTTGCTTGAATTGTCATCACACCATTCAAATCACTACAGAAATTATTGGAGAAGCGATGAATCTGAGAAAAGTAAAAAATAAGTAAAAATGAAAAATCAAAAGAGAAAATATCAAGTACTACTATCAATTAATTATGGATGCCTGTCAGGAATCAGAAGGGAACAAATTATACAAATTGGCTAATTCAAGAAAATTTTACTAAAGGGAAAATATTGTACACATATAGATCTATTTTATAAGATTCGCACTGCATATTACACAAGGTAGAAAATACTGTATTGAACTTCACAGGGAAGTTTAAAGAGATCAAAAACCACAGTAAGCACGTAACAGCCTATTTTGAGGCAAGGTCTCACCAAGTCTCTAAATTACACAGGCTGGGCTCCTTAAACTTGCGTCCTCCCACACCAGCCTCCCTGAGTGTTGGGATTACAGGTGTGTGCCACCACACCCAGCTCAAAATATCTTCTTAGCAGAAAAAAAAACAAAAATTTATTGCAAAATCCTTTTAATACAGAGTAAAGCAAGCCTAATAGATATCATCTTACCCTCTGTTCGCTGAACTAGAAATCTTCCTTGGGCAAGTGCGCTTTCAATTTTTTGAAGATGTTCCATTTACTTGCTCCTATGCTAGGTGCGTATTTTTGTCTCTCTTTTTATTTTTTTTTAATTTAACAAACCATACCTACACTTAGGGCTTAGTTTATGTCTTAGCCTAGTTTGGGAAAGGGATATTTTCAGTATGAATTGTACAGCGCTCATGGTTTAAAGGACATCTAATTACAAAATGTAATATATAATAAAGCATTTGATTATAATAAAAGCTAATACTTAAGAATGCCTACTTCATGCTACCCACTGTACTACATGTCTTGTTTCCCTTAATTTTCACACCTTCCTACTACCTAGATGATATGGGTAATGAAACTGAAGTTTTAAAAGAAAGGGAATAATTTGAGATCATACAGCTATAAATGGTGACAGGCTCCAAACTTATAATCTGTATGTAAAGCCCAACTTTCCAATCAGTCTACTATCAACTATAATTCCTCTTCATGTATGCGTGTGTGCATGTGTGTATGGATCTGTGTGTATGCGTGCGTTTCATATGGCTTGACGCAATCCCTAAATTGCAAATGGTGTGTAGCTGAAGACCAGCAATCATTTCTAATCCCTTTTCTCTGCTCCACACACAAGATCTGCTATGTGAAACATGGAGGTCCAATTCCCTAGCACACTGAAGAACTCCCATGAACAAGTCCACCCTTTCTGGTTTCCCTTGTTACTTCTCTGTACTTCTTTTAACAAAGACATAATTCAAGACAAATCTAGTGAGTACTTAAAATATGCTGGATTCTGTGTCCAGAACTCTCACGTATTTCTAAGATTGATCCTTACAATAATCTCCGAGACGACATATTATTATCTTCATTATACCGATAAAGAGACTAATTTAGAAAAGCTAACACATCCAGAATAATACTGTGGTCTCTTGATTCCAACACTTATTGTTGCCACCACTGTCCTCTGCTACGTGCAGTCTTCTCCCCTCTGCACCCTCACTCTGACCACTGGTCCTCAAACACTTTCTTCCTTCATTCACCCATGCCTTAGCCCAGCCTGAAATGCTCCGGTCAGTGTTTCTACCTACAGAAGCTCCTCCCATTCTTTCATGTTTCTCCTCAGATGTCACCTGTAGTATCAAGGAGCAATAGCCATCCTCTAATTAGGGCAAATTACTGTTTGACTGTTCTACAATGCTTTTTTACATGTCCCTCATAGACTGTATTACATCTAACTCTGCGTCATAATTTTTGTGACTTTGGTGGAAAGACAGGAAGTCATTTATACCTTTAAATTGGCTAAAAATTTAGGGTAAAGTGTTTTTTCCTCTCACAAAAAATATTCCACATTTCAGAGCAGCGACCACTAAAGCAGGTGGCGGTTCTATTAAACATCATGAAACAATATTACAATTTAATTTTATTGACAGATATTCAAATTACCTTGATCACAGAATTGAGTAGAACAACACTCTTGATAAAGTAAGGTAACAGATATGAAGATTAAAGGACTAAAAGAGACAGGAAGTAAATGCATCTACCTGAGGTGGATTCAGTTGTGAAGCCAGAGACACACAGCGAGTTTCAGAACTTCTGGACGGGGGGACACTTGACACATCTGCGCTGATACGGGACACGAACACATGTGGAGATCTAGTTTCAGCTGTTTTCAATTTTTCTTTCTTGTTTTTCACTTCTACGTCAATGGAAAACTCAGTATTATAAGCAACACCAAATTATGCAAATAATACTTGTTCCTAAATTACCATAAATTTATGTTACAGCCGTTGATACAAAACATTGCAGTAGAGAGCAGAGAGCCCTGAGGAGCAACTGGCTAATGTAATTACACTGCACTGGTATGTACCTGAGATTATACGGTAAGCAATAAAGATTCTCAGAGTTTTAGTAAAAAAGTACAACTAATCTCTCTGGCTGGAAAAAAGATGACATTAAAATGAACATAATTATTGCCCCTTACTGTATCAATGAATAACCTAAGACTAATTATTAAGGTGTACTACCAATATTTCTATTATTTTTTTCCTCTCAACTTTAAGTAAATTAGAGAACATTTCATAAGGTGAAATGAAGATGTGTTAACTAAATTAGCTGTTTACATTTTAATTTATGAACAATGTCATGAAATTTTTTTTTAAATCTCACGATTAAAGAGTAGCTTGGCAAAGTGTTTTTAGACCAAAATGTGTTTCCGTGATCTCGGCAAAGTATCTTTGTATCATTTTTGTGACACCCCCAAAACAATAACACCCTTTTGAAGTGATTAAAGATCATCTAAGAATATAGGCAGTCAGCCCACTGTTCTTCTCATCTTAGACACGAACAAGACGTGGCCCGGTTGAGGTTGACAGCACAGAGCTGAAGGGAAGAGGCTTCTTTTTTTTCTGTTCAGTAGACCAAAGAAGTACCTGTGAGTGTCGTTTCCCAGCTCTTTCTAATTAGTTCTTCCAATATTTCCACCACACTTGTCCAGACATGATCAAATACTTCTGCTGCCACAGTTTCTTTGATACAGTCATGAGGGGAGATGGGCGGAAGTCTGTGTCTGTGCCACTTCCTGCCACAGCGAACTGACGTTTGTTCAAGATGTTCATCACCACTAAGAATAAAAGTCCATTGTAATTACTGCAGGAACCAGGTTAAAGTTACACTCTATCACCTATTCATCATCTATCGGTAATGAATGCACATGTATATATTCCCAAATGTTGATAAATGTAGCATTCCTTTTTAAGCAGCACATGGTTATTTTTAATATAGACAATTTTTATTTGTCAATTATATCTCAATAAAGTCAAGGAAAAAGTAAATCAAGCAATTTGTTCTATTTTTTCCCTACTCTTTATTTCATTTATGTCTGTTCCAGTCTTTGTTACTTCTTTTCTTAACTGTGGGTTTAATTTATTCTTTTTCTTGTTCCTTCAGAGATGCAAAGTTAGTTTATTTGAACTTTCTTTTTTCAATTGAAGGTGTTTATTGCTATAAACTTCTCTCTTAGAACAGCTTTTATTGTATCCCACTAGTCTTAGTATGCTGTATTTCCATTAGCATTTGTCTTAAGATATATTTTTGTTTTCCTTTTGATTTCTTCTTTGACCCACCAGTTCTTCAGGAATATGTTGTTTAATTTCTACATGTTGATGAATTTTCTAGATTTCTTCCCTGTTACTGATTTCTGGCTTTCCAAGAAAAGAAGCTTGATAGAAGTTCAATCTTCTTAAACTTGTTGACTTATTTTAGTAACTGGTTATTTCTTTAACAATTTTCGATCACAAAACAAATTTTTATCCTACAACATTTTCAGCTCATGTAAAAACAAAATGTGCACATTTGGCACAGAAGTTCCTCATTCTTTTTCCCCTGCCACACAGGGATCCTGGAGCCCCCAGAGCACTAGGTGGGCCAGCAGCCTTACCAAGCTTCACTAGCACTCAGGACACTGCTCTGGCTTTTCCGTCATAGGCTCCATGTCCAGAAGAAATGGACTCACTGCTTTCGTACCTACACTTACTGCTAGGAACTGAAAAACTACAGCGGGGTGGTGCACATTACTGTTAAAATAATAGAAATCTTCTGAATAGGTAAAAAATTCAAGAAACATTAAGTGAGCATTATCTTAGTCATTTTCCTATCATTGGACACAACAAATGACACTCAAAGGAGAAGAGTTTAATTTTGATTCATGGGTCCAGTCTCTGGTTGGCTGGCTCCAAGGCAGAAATGAGGTGGCAGAGAGGAATGGGAAAGGAAAAGATGCTCAACTCAACCCACGGCAGTCAGAAAACAGAGAACAAAGGGAGGAGCCAGAAACAAGAATATACTCTTCCAGGTCCCCCGTCTTCTGACCAGACCCAGCCTTCTAAAAGAACATTCAGTTCTAGACACTTCAGTGGATCAATCCCCTAATGAGTATCAGTGCCTGTGTGATTCAAATCACCTTCCAAAAGCCCAACTTCTGAACACATGAGTCTTTTAGGGGACATTCTAGATCTGAACCCTAACAAGCCTGTAATAAAAGTAAATGCCAAATAAATTAACATTATACTATGGAGTCAATGCCAAATAAAACTCTATTTACTCCTCTTTTCTATCAAATGCAAAATACTCTTCAATCTTCCCATCCACGCCATAGACTTCTTCTTCCAGGGATGAGCATGCCACTAGGCTAGCAAGCCCTACGCCACCAGGGCCTGGCAGGGCAGAGGCTTCCAGGGCTGCAGGCATGATCCGAGAGCCGGAAACGCACAGCCTGTGGAGGAAAAACCACATTCTGCAGGGAAGTTTGTAGGACACAAGAATGTAACGCTTGAATGATCAAGACAGTGCCTTAAATTATCCACAGAGTGCAAAATTTTATATTTAAAAATTGCATTAAACATTACATTTGACAAAACCCACAGACTTCAAATCATTTTAACACAGATATTACAAAAAATTTAAGGGCTGCTTAAAACATTAAGGTACTCTTTGTGCCTGTGTCCTCTGTGCTATAACAAAGTGATGTGAAGACACAGAAAGTGTGTGTGAGTGGCATAAAGAGATTTAACAAGGTCTGTTAGCAAGCAAAAGAAAACGGACTAGTGTTTTATTCCTTCTGTTTCCACTGCCTCGAAGCTTAGGATCTGCCATAATGAGTCTGTGTTTGATTCCACCTTTCCAGTGCCTCTGGAACTATGTGTGTGTGCTCCACACATGCTTTCCTTACCCACACACACATGTATACATACACTCATCACCAGTTTGGGATCAGAGACATCTTGCAAAAATCATTCTCTCTACCTGTCATTCACTAAACTCTAAATCCACAGACTTGGTGGACCTAAGGATCATGAGTAAGATAAACATGAAAAACATGACTAAAATACAGTTACAAATAGTTTTTGGAAGTAACATAAGTGAACCTACTCTCTAATATTGCTGCTGGGTTCAGGGGCAGTGGGTAAGGGTTTGCGGCCGGCAGAACTTGGCAGGCTGCCCTGGAAGTGTCGGAAGCCTTCATCAGTTGGCAGGATGAGCTGTCTTCCTAACACTCTGCAAGGGAAAAAAAGAACCTAAGAAGCTACTAACACCTTTGATCATACAAGGGAAAAATGTTTTGTGACCTTTAAAGTAGGGTATAAGCTGAACGTGCTGGTGTACACCTGTAAGCCTAACAGTGTGGGAGACCCAGGCGGGAGGATTGCAAGTTGAGAGCCCAGTCTGAATAATTTAACGACATAGCCAGACCCTATCTCAATCCATCAATCCATCAATCCACCAATCAGTCAAAAGATGGAGAGCACTGGGAAGTAACTCAGTGCGAAGCCCCTGGCTGCAATCTCCAGCACCACACCGAATAAGTAAATAATAGGTTACAGTAACGATTTTAAAGACATGGACATGTCACAAGGTAGGATGTACTGGCCCATAAGAAGCATTGTGGTGTTGGAGAAAAAGCCAGCTGTCTGAAGAAGGACAGTTTCTTCTGACCACGGACTATGTAAGAGTGTGAGGTAAAGTTCCCCCACTGACTCTCAGTCACTGATTTCATTTGCTTGTTTGTTTTTCAGATGCAGAACAGAATCACAGTTACCTTGCAGAATTTGTGAGACGGTTAGGGATAATCTAGGTCAGACTCAGGTGTCTAAGGCAAAGATAGACACAGAGAAATGCTATAAACACTAACTAATATATCTGGCAAAATATGCACCTTGTACCTTTGTTTTTCTACCTGCCCTTGTTTTAATCTTAACTATGTAAGATAACAGTGATAAAATGAAGTTTGAGCTCCTGACTTTTTGGTAAGTGCATCATTCCCCAAAAAGTACACATCTACCAATTACTATCTAGTAGGGCATATTATACTCTTTTAGGCCTTATGAAGGATTGGAAAGAAAACAATACTCACTTATGATTTTTGTAAGTTATCTAGTCAAGCTAACCAGAAAAATTGAAGCCCACTTACATAGCGACCCTCCCTACATCATAAATGATGAGATGGAAAGCTTCCTCTATCCACTTTCTCAGAGAATAATGAATCTTCCCTCCTGAGCCGACCTCCTGTTGTTTTCAGTAAGGACAGATGCTTATCACTCATGTACAGTATATTGAGTACTGTATACAGTATACCGAAGGTGAAAGATCCCTTTGACTATTCTTACATTTGTTACGTATGAATGCAATGTCTTTATAAGCAAAAGCTAGATTTGCTTCTCACAAATTAAAGGTCACTTGATTCATGTCATGTCTTCTGTATATTTCCTGGGGGGATCATCGTGATGCCTGGGACTTGTCAGTAGATGACTGTTCTGGGTGCCTATTTTGACTGGGCAAATGCTGTCAGTCAAAATGTTCATCAGTCAGAAGCTTTTCTACAAAAATCCACTATGGAAAATGTCTTCAGAGGATATCTCTACCTTAGATGGAGGGATCTGCTGGCCCACTCACTGCATTCATCCAGTAGGTTCTGCGACTGAGCACCTACTTTTCCTTCAAATAACATTTCCTCCACCTCCCAAAATAATTGTTGTACTTTCTGAGCATTGGCTTTGTCATATTCCTGAAGCAGAAAGGCACAGTTAGTAAGGACAGGAAAAGTCATACAAATGTGGGTTTCACACCTAATAACATTTAGGTATTTAAAACAACTCATTATGTAAGGCGAAATACAATATCATGACAATAATGTAGATTTCTACCTTCACAGACATAGAGTGCTGCCATTCTTACTTTTTTCATCAATAATATCTCATTTTGACCGTTACATCTCCACTTTTGGTTCCTTTACTGAAAAACAGAGATGATTTCTACCACATAAATTATGTATTTCAGATTTTACATATGATGTATGATGAAAAAATACAGCACATTTCTGTCAAAGAAAAACATTATGGTGTGTCTTTATCCACCTTATTCACCAGATCTGGGACCATCCAACTTCTTGCTCTTTTCCCAAAGTCAAAATTACCATTACAAATAAGTATTTTTAATCGATTTAAGACAACAGCATAACTAAAGACACTTATGAAAGAGGACTTCCAGAATTCCTTCAGAAAATGGCAAGAATGAAGGGACAAATACGTTCAAAGGAAGAGCACTGATGGCAATGCTCCTTTGAGTGTAATAGTGTTTTTATTTAAATGGACATATTCACTGTATGGACCACACATAACAGACACAAAGATATAGAGAAGGGTACACCTGTTGACTTAGACATGAATATGGATGCTAAAACTTACACAAACTTACATACCCACACACACTCAAATCACCCATGTACATACAGACAAGTCTGTCATAGTTATTCTTAGTGTTCTCAGCCCATGTGAGAAATACAAGCTCTTTTTTCTTCTGATGGTACAATGGAAAAAAGAAATTACTTTTGTAGAAAGAACCACTAACCTTACAATCTATAAAGGAGAAAGGCTTTTAAAAAATCCTTAGTTATTAGAGTAAGACAAGAGAATTTTTTTTTCTGTCTGATTTGGGCAATGCTATCATAGGAGAAATAACCCTGCACCATAGGCTCCAGGCTGTGTTTTCTTCTAGGACTAAGTGAATCCAAACTCTAATCCACAGCTCAAAGCATCACAGTGCATAGCCAGTTGGACATAGTTGATCCAAAATGGTTCAGGTTGATTTTAATGCATCTTTATTCATTACATTATTTTGTGTTAGTTACTGTCTCTCTCAAATTTATAATAAAATAAATTCCCACATTACAGGGGAGTTGTATTAATTATTTCTTTCTTTTTTTCTAACTCAGGATCTAACTCAGGACCTTGCGCTTGCAAGGCAGGCGGCGGAACTACTGAGCTAAATTCCCGGCTGTATTAATTCTTTTAAGTGCAATAAGGAGAAAACCAATAATACTTGTCTCTTAAAAGATAACTAAGTGGCTGGTGCATTGAGGAGGCTCACTTTTACTCTTCTGTGTTGCATTTTGTTGCTTTTGCAAATATTTCCTGTCAAAGAGTAATTTAAAATTTTCAATTAAGATGAAAAGGAAATTTCATGCCTAGAATAATTTAAATTTGATAAATGGAAGTCATGAGTCTCCCTTGACAATCCCATGAAAATTTGGGCTGAAAGAATTCTAGATTTGGACAAGATGAAGGAATGGTTCTCAACAGGGGCATGGACATGAGAGGAAAGGGTGTGAGAGGGCATGGCAGTGAACAGGCATGAGGGTGGGATCATAATCAAAGGAGTCACACATCCTTTCAAGTCATCTGAGTGATTCTGAGCAGCCTGCTTTCCAGACCCCTCCCACTGCCCTCTCGCTGCTCGCTCCATTAGGAATCACTGCTGTCCAACCACATGAGGAAGTAGACTGACAGAAAAGCACGCCACAGCAAGGAGAAAAACTGGAACCCAAGATGTCTTAATGGAGGCACTTCTATAACCAGATGGGCTTCTCCAAAACTATATCTCAGAATGCTCAGGGACACTGGAAGGGACAAGGAGGCAAGAGACCATGGAGACAGCATAGTGTGTAGCAAAGCCAGACTTGCAGCTAAATACTCATATATATAAGTGATAATGTTTATAAAATAAACAATGACGTTTTCCTGAACATAAGAAAGTAATTCTTCATTATCAATTTGTAATAACAGATTTATCCAAAATATTCTGAAACATACATCGTCCCTCCAAGAGCAAATGGAGCTCCTCTCTGTGGACAAGCCAGTGGTCGAACTCTGTGTTGAGGACCCAGCCCAAAAATTGTGGGCTTCGGTGGGTGTGCAGCTTCCACTGGATGAGAATGATGATGGGGATTCACTGTAGGAATGAATACAAACAATGTAAATAACATGCACAGTATTGGGAAGAGATTATACTGTACATCAAGCAAGTGGCTTGGCTTCACTGGAACTACTTCCTTAAATACATTTGTTAATTTTACAGTGCACTAATTTCAAAATATTTTTGCAATGTATCATTGCCACTTTTTTTGAGACAGGGTCTCACTATGCAGTCCATGTTGGCCATGAATTCACTATGTAGCCTAAGCTGGCCTCAAACTTGAGGCAATCCTCCTGCCTTAGTCTACTGAGTGCTGGGATTACAGATGTGTGCCACCACACCCCGCTACACTTTGCTTGTATAAATTCATGTGGCTATTCATTGATGTTGGTTCCCACATTTATTATGGGCATTCTTTTGGTCAGCAGCATGTAATAAGTTAATTTTTACCTGGTATATTTATCAATGGCTTTCTGCACGTTTTTTGTAAAATATTTAGGTAAAGGATCTTTGTTCTTCACAGCAAAACTGGGCTTTCTACGTCCTTCTGACAGTCCTCGTCTACAAAATAAAATAAAACATGAAAAGTCTCCTTAATGTAATGATGCAGTTTTATTCACTAAAACATGTTTTCTTACTATAAAGTTGCCCCTCTCCTGCAGCACCCTCCTAATGTGCATGCATACACACACATGCATCAAGAAATTGGGACCCCGAACATTGACATCTTAATTTTTCATAGAATCAATTTTCTAATAACTTGAATGCATCAACTTTGCAAAAACTAGCAACAACTTTTAGTGACTCAGCCAGGGAAGTAAATGCTGTCCCAAACAGTTGACAGTATTCCAGACAGACTTCCTCCAAACCATAAGCCTTGACCGGTGAAACACAGGCTGGATTTCAGCTTCCTGTGACCAGGTCCCTTACCCTCATAAAACTCAACCAGTGCTCCGGTAGCAAATCATTAATCCTGCATTTTGAAATATGTCCAATTATTTTGGACTACTAAGAAGCTATATAAACATCTAGCTCAATTTACTGAAGCACTGTTTTGGGTATGTATTCTGGGTTTTAGGAACTTGGAATGTGTTAAAATTGAATGGAGAACTGAAACAGAAGAAACATATAAATGTTAAATAAACTATAAACTTAACTCCGTAGCACAGTTGAAGTTAATCATTAAAATGCTCCTTCAATGAACCTCTTAAAATATTTACTTCCCTCTAGTCAAAATATCTTGCTAATGTTAATAGTATACCACTTTTATTCTTTTAGTAGAAATCCTATTTTCCCATGAAAATAAAATCTATGTTAGGGTAAGGTATGGTAGTGAATTAGAAAAAAATTTTGAACTTTCAATATTTCCAACAAGAACACCATTCTAGTTTGCATTAAAAAGAAAAAGTTTTTTTTAAAAAATATTAAAATAGTACCTAATTTGGGGGCAGAGGATGTAGCTCAGTGGTACAGCACTTACTTAGCATGTACAAGTTCCTTACTTCTATCCCTAACCTCATAATAAATAAATAAATAAATAAATAAATAAGCAAAATGATACCTAATTATCAACATTTATACAGTATTTTTAAATATAACTGGGGCAATTCCTGCACTTATTTATGTGTCTTTGTACTCTACAATAAAGAAAATTTTGAAAACAAATTAAGACTATAAACAGATCATAGTCAAGACCCTCTGTCTTCCAAAGATAGGTTTTGTGAAACAGAGATTAATAGAATTATGTGATCATTTCCCTGTCCTTACTACTTATATGTCTTCATATAATCAAATAATTCTGAGGATAAAAGTGTTAAATATAACAGAGAAATGAATAAAAGAGAGCTTTCATGGTATTAATCTGCTTTACTTTTAGCCCTATTCAGACGTTTACAAACCATTACCTATTTATAATTTACACACTGGGACTCAATAACTTTTTAGGGAAGCATAACAAAATATCAAACAAGCCTTCGACCCAGTGCTCCAGAGCAGACCGGCAGCTGTTCGCAAACCTCTGGTAGGCCCTCTCCTTCATTTCAGGGCCAGAGGAGCCCACACAGCGGTGTTCATGCCCCCCCCAACAAACAAGAGAAAGAGGGCCTCTCTGAGGCTCCTAGATGAAAACTGAAGCCCACTGGAGAAGTGAAGAAAATCTGTGATAAAGGAACATCACACCACCATAATTGTTGTCCTCCTTGGTATAATGAAAATGAGATAATGAAAATGCCTCAGAGACATTAGAGACTCAAAACCTAAAGACCAGATATATCTGGAAGATTGAAGTATTAACCCAGGAATTAAACCAAGGACAGGACCAATGACAAAAACAGAAATGAGAAGGCATTTAAACAAACACAGACTTCCACCTCACCAAAGGTAAATTCTGGGGGAAATGAGGTGGAAAAGTCTGACAGTCAACCATCTGGATACCCTGAACCAAGAACACAGGAAGTTAAAAAAAACAAAACAAAACAGATAAATGAGGCTCTAGAGAAATTCAAAACAGAAATAATTTCCCAGGTTACCATAGAGATAGTGAGAAGAATGAAAGGCATGATTACAGACTCTAGAAATGAAGTGGATTAAAAAAAAAATAGATGAGCTCAGGACCCTGATGTAAACCATGAATCCCTAGCATAGGAAAGAAATGGAAACCTTGAATGCCCATCTTAGGAAAGAAATGGAATCCACAAAACAAATTCAAACAGATATCCAGGCATCAAAAACTCCATACAAAGCATTCACAGAAGGATGAATGAATGTGAAAACAGAATTTCAGATATAGAAGATAGGACAGTGGTCAGTGAACATGAAAGGAGAGATCTCTTAAAAACAGTAAGAGACCATGAGAAATCAACCCAACAATTCTTAGATGATGCAAAGAAGAATAACATAAGACTTGTAGGAATCCATGAAGTAGCAGGACAAAGTTCAAGTGACACAAAAAAACAGTTCATAGAATTAATGACAGAAAATTTCCCAAACAGAGAGGAAGAATTTGAAATACAGATAAGTGAGACACATAGGACTCCAACCATCCATGATCAATAATTAAAAAAAAAATCTACACCTAGACATATAATAATCAAGATTCTGGAAACCCAACAGAAAAACAAAATATTACACACAAGCAATTAGAGAAAAGAAATGAATCACATGCAAAGGAAAACCCATCAGAATCACAGCAGACTTTTCACCACAAACCCTCAAGTTAAGGAGAGCCTGGAGTGAGGTATTTCAAGTCCTAAAAGAAAACAACCTCCAACCTAGACTGATGTATCCTGCAAAAACATCTTTCAAAATTGATGCAGAAATATGATGCTTCCATGACAAAGAACATCCAAGAAATTTTATGAACACCACACTGGCACTCCAAACACTTCTAAACAATATCGTGGAAAAAGAAAATGAAGACTACAACTCCATAAGGGCCAACAGAGCAAATATACCAGGCAAGGCAAGAAATTGTACGGAGAGAGGGAAAAATAAAAAACAAAAGAACCAACAACAGTGAAAAAACATGACAATGAAAAGTTAATACATAGCAGTTATAACCATCAATGTTAATGGCCTCAATTCACCAATCAAAAGAAACAGGCTGGCAGAATGAATTAAGGAGTAAAATTGAACAATATGTTGTATACAAAAAACCCACTTGATTCACAAAGAAATTCACAGATGGAAAGTAAAAGGATGGAAAACAGTTCTCCATGCTACAGAAGCCCAGGAAAAAAGTGGGGATAGATATCTTATTTGCAGACAGAATAGATTTCAAACCAAAATTAAGTAAGAGAGACAAAGAAGACCACTCCACCCTTGTAAAGGGGACAAGAGGAAGAAATGACAATCATAAATATATATGCACCAAGTACTTATGCCCCCAATGATACAAAACAAATATTAATGTATATGAAAAACGAAATCAGCACTAATGCAATTGTAGTAGGGGAACCTCAATACTCCACTGACAGAAATAGAGAGATCATCTAGACAAAAAAAAAAATCAACAACAAAATAACAGAACTGAACCAAGTCTTAGAACAAATGGACTTAGTAGATGTCTACAGAGAGTTCCACCCCTCAAAATCAGAATACACATTCTTTTCAGCTGCACACAGGTCATTCTCCAAAATAGATCACATGCTGGCTCATAGAACATGCTTAAGTAAATGCAAAGGAACTGATGTCATCCCCTGTATATTATCAGACCATAGTTCAATTAAACTGGAGATCAACAGCCTAAGAAACCACAAGAACTTCACAAACACGTGGAAATAAAAATAACACCATAATGTACAATCATTGGGTCACAGAGGAAATTAAAGAAGAAATTAGACAGGTTCTACAATTAAATTGTAATGCCAATACAACATACAGGAATCTGTGGGACACAATGAAAGCAGTTCTATGAGGGAAATTCATAGCAGTAAATGGCCATACTAGGAAAACAGAGCAAGCTCAAATAAACAACCTAAGGCTTTACCTTAAGCTTCTAAAAAAGAAGAGCAAGACAAATTGAAAGCTCGTACAAGGGAAGAAAGTATAAAAATCAGAGCAGAAATTAATGTAGTGGAGACTAAGAGAACTATACAAAAAAAATCAATGAATCAAAGAGTTGGTTTTTCAAAAGAATAAATAAAATCAATAAACCCTTAGCCAACTTTATTTTAAAAAGGAAAGAAAAAGCTCAAATTCATGCAACTAGGAAAGAAAAAGGTGAAGTCACAACAGATCCAGCACAAATCCAGAGGATCATCAATACCTACTCTGAAAACAAAGGAGCCAGCCATCCTCACTGGTGGAAAGATAACCTCTTTAATAAATGGTGTTGGAAAAACTGGCTTTCAATTTGCCAAAGATTAAAATTAGATCCATAATGCACTACACACTAAACTAAAATCCAAGAGAATTAAAGATTTCAAGGGCCAGGGATTTAGCTCAGCTGTTCGGTGGCCTGCCTTGCAAGCACAAGGACCCGAGTTCATAGCCCGGTACCAAAAACAAACACACACAAACAAACAAACAAACAAACAAAGATTTCAAAACAGAAACACTAAACTTACTGGAAAGTAAATTAGGTAGAATTCTCCTAGATATTAGCATAGGAGAAGACTTTTGAACAAATCCTCAGCAGCAAAATTTGCACAAAGAATCAACAATTAGGATCTCATTGTATTAAAAAGTTTTTGCCGTGCAAGTGAAATCACCAAGAGAGCTAAGACACAATCTACAATGTAGGAAAAAATTTTTACCAGCTTCTCCTCAGACAAAGGACTACTATCTAGAATATATAGAGAACTCAACACATGTAAATACCAAATAGTTTCTCTTGTGTGAAAAACTAAAAGTGTAAAGAAGATCCAAATTGTATAACTGACACTATGAAATAGAAAGAAAAGGGCCAAAGGTATAGGGGAAGTGGTAAGGGTAGGGGAAAGGAAATAAGGGAAAAGAAAAAAATGTGAAAAAATGGAAACAAAGACTGTAAATAGGGGAGGGTGAAGGGGGTAAAGGGAGGGCAGGGGTATGGGGAAAAAATGAGAACTAAGTTGTCATGT